AGAGAAGAGCAAGCCACCTAATCCTCTAGCATGTTCGTGATAGAAGAATTGCCACTCCTTCCCAATTAATCATTATCTGAGACAGTTCCCTTACACTTGAAAAGAGTACTCCTTAGCCTTTTGCCACCTAAAGTTCCCCTCGCACAGAGAAGAGCTTGCTGGAGGTCTCCTGACTTTGTTTCAGTGATAACCCTTGTGTTTCAGGTCTAGCACGTTGTATTTGCCCAAGCCCAAAAACTCCTTAAATGGTTATCGTAAGCCCCAGCCCCAGCATCCTAAAGAGGAAGCCTATCTAAGTATTTGTGAGCTTTTTTACACATCAAACTAATGTCTCTTTGCAGTTTTTCTCAACATTCTTTGGGTAGAGCTTGCTGTTTTACTACGGTATGAAGATTAATGACCCCTAAGAGGAGTCCTGTGGATTTCATTTGTATTCTCTGTGCTGTGTTTTCACACTTTCAGAGAGCAGAGCTGAACTTCTGAACCACTCTGTCAACCTTGTTAATTTGACAGTGATTTACATCTCTCTTAATTCATGCTGGAATATCTTCAGCTGTAGCTATTTGTTAGTTACTCCACTCACAAGGGGAAATCCTGGGTTCATTGCTGCAGCACAAGGTCTCACACGCCCAGATGTATAAATGACCTTGACTAAAAGCACCCATTTTTTCAGCCCACATGAATATCTGAGTATGTATATAATAGAAGTCAGGTGCATTGTAAATTCTTTTTCCTTTTCTCACTCAGGACTTAGGTGTCTAGATTCTTTCTCTTCCTCCCTGGAAAGATTTCCTTTCCTGGAGAAGTAAATACGCACAAGCAGATGAGACAGTTGACAGTGTTTATATTCATGTGATTTTTGTATAATGACTAGGAGAAAAGTTGGAGTTCAAAGTTGTGCCTAATGAAATTCTTGTAAAGGCTGATGTAATTACACCTGTGGTTAATGTTATTTAGTATACTCTGAGAGTGTACATAAACATCTTTTAGCACCTCAATTCTGTGAAGTTTTACTTGTCTTTACCTGAAGATATTGTCAGTATTTCTGGAAAGACTCGTTTCTAACCCATCAAGCTGCAGAAACATCTGCAACTGCAGGGAGCACTGAGCTTTGCAGGACTCTATTTCAGATCGGAGAACAAACTAAAGCAGGGTCTGACTGTCTCATTGGGCACCACTGATTTTACAGAAGGAACATCTGACAACGTTCCTATTAGGCATATTGATATACTTTTTGAGACTGTGGACCACAATGCAGATGCCATCATCTGGAGGATACTCTCAGTGTCACAGCCTCCTGAAACTTATCAGGTATCTCTTCCTATTTTTACATATAGAATCATAGAATCATAAAGGTTGGAAAATACCTCCAACATCATCTGGTCCAACTATCACCATACCACCAATGCCACCCACTAAACCATGTCCATAAGTACCAGGTCCAGCCTTTCCTTAAACACCTGCAGGGAAGATAATGCCACCACTTTCCTGGGCAACGCATTCCAATGCCTGACTACTATTTCTGGGAAGAAATGTCTCCTCATTTCCAACCTGAACCTCCCCTGGCACAACTTGAGACCATCCCCTCTAGTCCTATCACTATTTTTCTGAGAGAAAAGGCCAACCCCCAGCTCCCCACACCTTCCTTTCAGGTATTAAATAGTAGATCAGAATAGCTATCTCTAGGGTACCATTATATTCCATTTTTTTGGCGCAAATAGAAGCAAGTGCTGCTCCACTTTCCAATGCATATTGTGGCCATATAAGAACTTTGTTAACAGAAGAAGAAAAGCCTTTAACAAGACAAAACATTTCGACTTTGTTTCAGCATTGTATTAATACTGCTCATGTATTTTTGCTTGTTTTGGAACACAGGCAAAATGATATGGATAATATCTATCTGTGAAGGACTATAAAATGCCTCCGCATTGAGCTGCCATTCAGGTTATTCACATAACACAGAAGATTGACATTCAAGTTGTTATTCACAGTTGCATGTAGATGTTTCTAAGTTGCTGCTCCCTTATATGCAATTTTCTTTTCTCTCTTAAAAAGACACTGTACTTCCTCCATCATATTGTGCCCAGATTTTGTCTTCTTTTTCTTTTTTTTTTTTCACATAAGTACCTTGCTATTTATGGCTCCATCAATATTGAGATAACATGTAACCAGTAAAACATTGCCTTCCAGATCTTGAAAAAGATCTAACTGAACAATCCATGTAGGAAAATATATCCATTTGATTATATGTTGTCATTTACAATCACCATTTAAGATCAACAGACTGTGATAAATTCTTTTACTACTATTATATTGATCTAGTTTGATATTAACATTTTTTACCAGAAAACTTGTCTTTTTCTTTGTTGCTACAAACAGCTAACTCTTCTCCAAAATGTTTGGAATGAAACATAAAATTAAATTAAAACAAACAAAAAGCCTTACCTCATTACCTGCTGCTTTAGGGTAAAGTAGAAAACCCTTGTCACATCTTTTTATTCCAAGGAACATGAAGCATGTTAGATGATGTGATCTACTATAGTCCTGAAAACTTGCAAAAATTTCTACTGTTACTTCAGATGTCCAAGGTGTGGATGATAGGGATTTAGATGTTTCAGTTTCCACCTATAGGAATATATGACACCTAGAAGCCTGCAGATTTGCATGGTTGAGATTTTTAAGGTCTGTCCTTCCTTAGAAATTACAGTGTCCAACCAAATGCTTATGGGGACAAGAACTGAAGATACATCTGAGTAAAATCATTTTATGAGCTGCATTATTAAATGTCTATCTATGACAAATTACATACACATCTAATTTTTCTTTTTTTTTGGGGGGGGGGGAGGGGGCGTTAAATTGCAAGTACAAACCTATCAGCAAGACTGGCAAAGAAAGGTAATATGTCTCAATGGATCAGCTGAAACAGTTGACAGCAACAAACTTCTACCACAAACCCTCTAGACAGGTGTGATGAGAAGCAACAAAGCCCCAAAAAACTCCAGGTGAGACCCAATTGCTCTTCTGCTAAGGTGCCACCAGGGGAAGTGTCCAGGGAAAATACTGGCTTCTGGATCTTCCCCCTCTTCTCTCCCTTGCCCCATGTTGCCCAGCTGACTCAGCAGTGCTGCATGAACCCAGCTGTTTTTCCTTATAGTATGTGAGAGCCCTCTGACAGGGGAGGATCAACAGGAAGCTTGTAGCAGGCAATAACAATCTATATTTAAGTCCACTTTTTAATAATAAGAATGATAAATGCAGTCATTTTATTATGTTGACAATTTCCCTGCAGAAGAAAGTAGTATAAATTGTAAATTTTATCTATTTTTCTACTTGGATTTTCACAGCAATGAAATTCTGATAGTACTAGTACTGAGACACTCAGATAAACATGTGAACTGAAATTATGTGAAGGAGTCCAGTTTCAGATGAAGCCATTACATTTACAGACTAATAGTTTTTGTTTCTTGAAGAGAGGTGCTCTGTTTTAACATTTGTTAAAAATGTGGACTTACATAATGAGAACATAGTATTTGTTTAAAGGAAACTGCTTTCCATATGGTCTACTGACTGTTATGCTTTGCTAGAATAAACATTGCTTTTAGTATCCATCCATTTAATTTTCTGTAGGGGTTGGGGTTATTAGCACTAGTAATAATTATATGCATTGTAACAGAAGAGTAAACTTTCCTGAAATAGACACTGCTTTCCTAGATTATATTTTTCAATACAATTAACTAAGTGGAAATTATAAATATGGTTATAGACTTTTGTTCTTTATTCACCGGATGAAACTTGCACGTAAACAGCTTACTTACATTGTTTTCGAAATTATTTTAAAAGTACTCTGTTTTTAGTAAGCATTTATCCCTTTAAATAATAAAATCAATAAAAACATTAGTTAACTACTTCATATAATATATGCATTTCAAAAACACAAGCATACATAACATTTTTGCATTTATTCTTTATGTTTTAGTAAGCATTGCAGGAAGATGAGACGGGAGAATCTGCTAGTATTTTGTGTGTGTGTTGTTTTTTTTAAATATTATGCTTTTTTGTATTAATCTTAATCATGCATTACACAAAATCAATGACAATTTGAATTAAGAAATTGGATGTCAGGAAAAAAAAAAAAAAAAAAAAACAAACGTAAGAGCACTTTACATCAATAGGAATCTTAAGGTATATTCCAGTGGGCAAACAATGGTATAGAGGCTTGTTGCTTTTTTTCCTCATAACTTTAATTTATATATAATTTATTCTGAATCCTAGTTTCAGAAAAACTGAAAAACAGCATAAGCACTGACCTTGAGGAACATTGGATCCAGTTTTGAAATTCAAAAAACAAACCAAAAATATCCAAAATTTGAGGAAGTTTTTCTTATACTTTCAGGGAGAAGTGAAAGACACAGAAGACACATCCACAAATAAATAAATACATAAATAAATCTTCAAAAATACTACATTATACTGCATTATTCAAAATACTACATTATAGCAATTACTATGCTATTTTAATGGATTACATCATCACAGGCTAAAGATAAGTTTGCAGCATTGAAAATGGTAATAATAACATAGAAAAGGCAGAAAAGTTCTGCAAATACTTCTTATCTGGTCTAACAGGTAGGGCATTGCAGCCTGCATACAGTTAGCATGGAAATCCCAACAACGTGTCCCCGTTAATTCTCTCACAAGCCTTATGAATCTTCCTCTCCCTCGGGGCAGGTTGACATGCCACTGAGATAGGAAGAGCAGGCTTTTGTGGGGTATTGGTTCAAATCCTTCTGGGCCAGGGAGAGAGCTGATTCCAACTTTTCTAACTTTGATTCACCAAGTGAATGCTTTCCTTGCCAGATAAAAAGAGATCTGTAAGTAGCTAATATTTTTTTTTTTCAAACGTGGCTTTATTTTGTCAGACTGTGTTTTGAAGGGATGTAACTATATTTTTGGCTACCAACCCAAGTCTGCAGGAAGGCCCTGAGCCCGCACCTGGTTAACCTCCCACATGATGAGGACGCAGCTAGTTTCACCGTGCTGCTTAAGCAGGAGAACAAATGAGATGCACTGAGACAGAGAAGTCCCTCCTGGTCACAGAATGGGCAGGAGGAACACCCTTTGCTCCTCTAAATTTTTAAGGGCAAAGGCAGGGGTTTAATCACATCAATGAAGGGCAGCTGAGTCCAGGTGTAGGGGATGCTTGGTTCATGCTCTGCTCAGCTCCTTTTCAAATTTTTCATCCTCTTTTTGGGGGAAAGCACAAAAAGACTATGGTCAGGTTGCAAGACTGACTGCGTTGCATGGACTAGTTAGCAATAGGCTTGCTGTAAACTAGAAAAAGCAAAATTCCCTCTATAAAATGGGAATAATGATGCTCTTTCCCCTTCTAAATGTTTTGAAATATACAGATGAAAGTCTTCAATAGGAAGTCAGCTCCTATTTTAAAACAAGCCTTCAATATTGTTTGCCTGCAAAGAAACAAAGGTTACATGTTTCAAAAGTTTGCACAGTAAGTACTTACAAGCTGCACATTGTTTTTCATTACCAATGATTTGTTTTCTTGCAGAACAACTTCTTCTAAAATATTAAACATAGTCAAAGTGACTAATGCATTTTTTTAATCTAGGAATTGCTCAATTAAAAATTTAGAAGGCACGCAATTTTGATTTCTGCCGACAATAGTCAAAACTTGTGTATAAAGATTAATTACTTATAAAGTAAAACACATCTTTTAAAAACTGGCATTAAATTTGCATCTGCATTATATATTGGATTTTAGTCTGCTGCCTGTAAGCAAAGGACTTCTGGAGGACTTTTGGTGGAGTTTTAAGCTGCTCAGACAAATGTGTTATATGAACTGACTTTCGCTTGAGCCAGATAAAACCAAGAAGTAAAGAAAATGTTGTGCTTGTGGTTCTTATACATTATACCCTATATGTATCTTCCTCAACAATATGAAAATATATATATATATTTACCAAATGTTGAGATTATGTTACATTATTGTGAATTGTTATCATACATCAAAAGATTTTCACATTTCATATAAATTGAAAAAAACTTAACTCTCATAACGTTTTGCACTGATTGTACAATGGTTGAGATGTCTGACAGAAAAATATACATTTCTTTTACTATACCAAGACTGCCCTCTAGAGTCTTACTGGGCCAAATTGCTCTTCTGGTGCAACTCTCCAGATCAGATTAGCTTTGAAACGAGCATCTTTATGGTCCCCATTATGTGGAGATCCATTCTGAATGCTACAGTGTTTGCTTGAGAAAAATGGATAGTACAATTTCGAGACAAATATGGATTTTTTTTCACTTACTATGAGCTCTGTTAATTCATTACTAAAAATTACTTGTAGCCTCTTTACATCATACTTTTGGCATTCCAATTGAATCAAAAATTATTAGGAAAATGATGAAAAAGAGAATAGTTTTAATCTCTTCCTAAAACCACATGAGAGGTGTTTAAGTCTATAAAAGATGACAGAAGGGAATGCATGCAGTATAGCTGCATTAAGAGTGTACTTGTTCTTTCTTTACAAGTGTTAAAAAGCAGCACTTCTCCCCTCTGAGGGTTGGATTAAGCTTCCACTCAAGCCAATGGCAAACCTTAAGTAATCAAGGAAACAGAATTATTGCACTGATTGCCAGAAGGGTTTGTATTCAGTTGTTAAATTAATAATGGGTATCTGGTTCAATAAACAGTTGTGTTTCCCATTAAGTTTTAGCTGTAGTGCTGCTTCTTATTACTTACCAATATATTATGCAAAACGGGCAGGGGGAAGAGGACAACTCTGAAGTAAACAGACTCACACAATATGGTTTAAAAATCTACAATGCAAGGAAAAAAAATAGTGCACATTTTAAATCATATACCATTTATATTGTTCAAAAATAGAGATTCATTTAATCAGAAGTATAAAAATTGTATTCTCAAAAGAATATAATTCCTAACTACAATTCTATAGCTCAAAGAATACAATCAAAAATAAGATGCTCTTTTTTCCCTCAAAGAACTGAATTTTCATTGTTGTCCTGTTTCCAAGCTCCCAGTAGATATGGCTGATTACAATCAGGTTACACTTTGTATTTATTAAATATTCTGAGGTAAATCGGGGATAAGTAGCCCCAACAACCTAACTGAAATAGGCTTCACTTAGGTAAAGCCAAAAAGATTTGGCCCTACTTTTTTATTTACAGTGGATGACTGTGAAGCTGAGACAAGCCTTGTTGAATTGTTTACTAGTCTATCCACATATTCAATAAACCAGTCTTTTATTCTGATATTTCTGGAGAAAATAGTAAAAAAAAATAATAATAATAATAAAAAAAATAAAAAAAAATTTGGATCATAATGAATGTCTCAGAACTAATAACCGTTTTTTTCCACTGCAGTTTTGTAGAGAATAACCCTCTGTTTCTTCATCATTCTTTATTGCATAGTACCAAGTCCTAGTCTTGTAAGTGCACCAGAACCTTTCTCACCAGGAAGGTCTGAGACCATTCCCTTTTGAACAAGAGCAGGGTTATTCTGGTCACCGTGAGTGCCACCTGCAGAACTACAGTCAGTCATGTGGGATAGCCAGGTCTGATTTTACAAACAACATGAAGGGAAAACAATATACAATATAAAAAAATATACAAAGTACACCAAGGTCATTATTTTGGTTCACTATATTGCAAACAACCTTCATTAGTTTAAGAAAATACAACAGATTACAAACATACATTATAGACATAAATCTATAAAGACACCCACCAAATAAACCCTTTTTTTCCAGCTACAAAAAGTACTGTGAGTTCAGTCTGAAGTCCACTGCAATCAGTGGAAGTCTTTCCATTGACATGAATTGACATCTTACCTTTTCCTTCCTATTCTCTGTATAGTCATGAAGGCAGGAATCAATTTAGACCTTCTCTTATACAAATCTACATTATCACAGGAGACTGAATGATAGATCGGGAGGCCTCATGCATCTTCCTTTTGTTCCAAGAAATCAGTTTTCATATCATTTTATTCAGTGCTTATGGCAATAAGAGGAAAATATTCTACACTTCTCATTGTCTATTTTAAACAGGAATAAATTTCCTATTATTCTTGATAGCTTGGATCCTCTTTTTCTGACTGTGCCTTGGAAATACTTGCAGTCATTGCCAACATAAAGATATGCTTTTATCTTTTAGGAAGCATTGACTTTTTAGCCTTCTAATTTTGTTGCCTTCAAGCTGATCATTTTTCACTATTAGGTCATTAAAGCAGAAGTGCAAAGCAGAAATGAGGCATTTTAAGCAAAAATCTCAGTGCAGGTTTTGTTGAAAGTCACATTAAATATATTTCCCCTCCCTGTCCTATTACAACGATGACTTCACAAATAATATATAGTTCATCAGAATCGGATAGTAAACAAAACAAATGCTATATTTGCAGTGTTCAGAAAGATAAAAGGCATTTTTTTATAATCAACTGCTGTAATGCATTCATGCAGAATTTGAGCTAGTTCTGTACTTTACTGGGGAGCATCCTTACCTATAGCCTGTAAGACATTCGGAGGCACAACTTTCCTTGTTTCTCAAGTTGGACCAGTCTCACTCCATTGGAAACCAGTGATATCAAGTAACACTGTGAGAACAGCTCCACTGACTGGTGTCGAGGGAGCTTGCCTGCATAGTGGGTCTGTGCAGTGGTCCTAGCAGTCACAGTGTTCTGCCACCTGCTTTTGGAAATGTTTGGTTATTGTAGGAGGGAAATGCTTTAAAGAGAAAAAGTGATAAGAATTTGTCCTTTCTCCTTTTTCCACAGATTCCTTCCCTTAGTGAGTAGGACAGTGTTTGAGTAAGATTCGTCTGTTCTCCCCGTGGTCAGAAAAGGGAACCACATGGACGTGACCAGTTGCGTATGAGAATGGATGAACCACTGCAGATGGGGGTCCCTGGAGGCTTCAGCTCCTCTGATCTGGGGCTGATGCAGAACTGAAAGCATGTTTCTGCTCTGTGCCTTGTATCTGCACTAATGCGAGGAGGTGAATAGCCAGTTCAGGGAACTAATCTAGCTGAAATCTTTCAAAAACAGCGATGAAATTTTAGGAAGATCAGCTCTCAGAAAAGGATCACCTCTGCATGTACAAAAGAGTAGGTACATAGTACTAAGCATATAGAAAGGAGTATGTACTTGCCTTTATCAGTGCTGCTGATTCAGATGCCCTCAAATACATGCTTGGACTACATTAAGAATTTATCAAGGAAGTTCAGCTAGAAATTAAGCTACAAATATAATATCTGTAAAGAAACATCACCAGAAGAGTTTTCAAATGGGAAAATCACACACTCTTACAAATTATAACTGCTTTCCCATATTCTTTCCAATACTAACATTTTTAGATTAACTGCTATTTCTTCAAGGGGAGGAAAATAACTTGAATATAAGAAGACCTCAGTAAATTATTGTCAAAATATTTTCTTTTTTCTATTCATTTTCTTCTTCCACGGTGCTTTCTGTTTAACAAAACATGTTTCTTTTTGCATCTTAGCATTACCAAATTCATCCTCTAGAACCCATTACATGTAAAAGAATTACACTGTCTCTTCTGGGAAGAACCTTCCACTCAGTGTTTTGTAATTGACTGTCAAATGCAGCTCCATCTGTGATTATTGTTTTAACTTCTTTTAAATCTCATTATCAATCTTAAATTCCCACAGTGTGGGAGAGGAGGTATCCTCTTCCAATACAAGATGTCTATACATATTACTATAAAGGAATTATAGTCTTTGAATGAGTAGATAAGGACACTAGACTTGTGTGCCTGAGTGTCCCTGTCTGGGTGTATTCTTATTAACAGTCACCCATATATATGAAAAGGATCTATGCTTTTTTTTTTTTTCCTTAGACTCTCAATTTCTGCTCTTGCTACATAACTCTGGTGTCAGGTAAGGAGTAAAACATATTATGCTTCTTCTGTAGTGCAAAAGAACAATACTGCAGTTAATTGAAAGTTGATTTTGAATTTGGGATGAATTCCTCATGCATAATTCCTTAAGGGCACAATACCATTCTGACTGCTGTCCCAAAGAGAAAACCAAAATACATGCTTAAATTTAGTCCCAGTGTGGTGGATGAGCCTTACTGAAGGTGCTGTATGTATGTGGGTATGTAGAAACCATATCTCTGGAGTCAATTATGTATGTGGCATAGCTCTGACTCCCCTGTAAGTCTGCACCAATGGTATTAGAATTCAACCAGATCTTGGGTTGATTAAAACTTAATATATCAGATACTTACTTTACAACATCAGCTTAAAATGGCCACTTACAAACTCACTCAGTTCTGAGATGTTCTGTCACACTGGCACAGTTTTGCTGGCTTTGACTCCCCTTGCAATAATGTTCTTTCTGAATTTATACAATCTCCCCAATAAATTCAGAAATTTCTTCAAAACTTCCTTCAAATGTTCTTTAAAGATTTTTCTGAGTCATTCCCTGTAATCAGTGTTGTGCAGATAGCAGATGTGATTCGTGCCTTACATTTGTTGTTCCATTGTTCTTTGGGTCCTAGAGGGTGCCCTGGTTACCCTCCTGGGTAGTCTTTCACAGCTAATAATGACTTCATGGTCCCCACAAGTTCTCATGATATTTTCACTGTATGAAAGGTCAACACAGTGAGTCCTACAAATAATTCTGAGTTTGTAGATCTTTTCCACAGACTGTCACACTATATGTCACAGGTCTCAGTATAAAAGACACAGGAACTGAATCATCAGCCACAGTTGGCCCCAAAGTTACAACCTTCAACCAAATGTATGTTTTTGACATGACACTTGTGTTTTCCAATGCAGCCTTTACTTTGTAACCAATTTTTAACTAGTGTGGAGCAAACTTGTTCTACTACAAATAACTCCAAAAGTAAGCAAACACATTCATAAGCTGCGGTGGCAGAAAGCACAGCAGGGACTCCATGCCTTTGATGATAAATAAACTTTTGTTAGCCTAACTCCCACCGTGGAAAAAAACTACTCTTTTCATCAGAAGGTACCAAGTACTCATATTCCTAGAAACAGAGGAAGGTGCATATACTATCCTGTAGCCATAACTCTGTCTCTGCAAATGAAAATATCTTAAATATGATTCACTGGCACATAGGACTAGGATTTTCCTTAAATCCTGTCCCTTGATATAACAAATATACTTTAAAACTGATTTCATAAATGTGTGGGATTTCATTTTTTTAAAATTAGCTCTTTTTGACTGCAACACTTTGATTGACTTATCCAGAATTAAAATGATGCTTCTTCTAATTTCAGGTCTGAATGTACTTATAGTCTTTTCATGTCTATTCCTTCTTATGCTAACATTGACTTTTAATTTAAATAGATATTTCCCTTCAGTGTATTTACACCCTTGATATATTTATAGATTACAGTTACAACCTCCTCCGCACTACAATCTACTTAGATAAACAAGTCAGCCTGCTGCAATATCTTTTCTATAAAGATGGGTTCTCTGTATTTCTAGCCTTCCTAGCAACCTCTCCCTGTACCTGATCCCATTTCAGTTCACTGTTTCTGTTCATGGCTGAGAAGAATTTCCTGGATATGTTAGGTGAAGTCTTAGCAAGCCACATGCCATGAAACTTATCCACGAATACTGTCTCCACTAATGCTGCATCCCTGCAGCATTCCAGAAGTCTTCAGTATTGATGGAGCTTTCAACTTTGTACCAGCTTCATCAGAACAATTCCTGTACAAGTGTGATATTCACTCATGAAAATGTTAAATATGGTGGACTAAGAAGTTCATGAGCATAGCTATTATCATGTCAGCTTGGTGTTTCAAATTTTCAACATGACCCACTCTACTCTTTCCTCACTTCTGCCTCTTGCTTCTTACTTTTCTTACACTTCCTTCAGTAACTCCCATTTTCTCCCTTTTAGTTGAAGTTTCCCACACAGCACTTCTTCAGGTCCACTAATGCAAATCAAACCAACAAAATCTACTCCCTCTGCTTCTATATCAATCTCATCAATCTAAACAAGATAATCATATGAGATTTGTTCTGATTGTATTTCATATCACTTTTTTTATATATATATTTTCTCATTTGTTCCTTCAAAAATTTTATAAACTGCTATTTGCCCTGGAGAAAATGTTTCTATGGCTACAATTCTTTTAGCTCACACTTTTTTGTTGTTCTGTAAACCAGGCCCTACGTTCACTATTTTTCGATTATACATACTCTTGGTCATCCCAACACTAGTTCACACCCCGATATCCTTCTCCTCATCTGACAGAAGAACTGCTGGAAAATCTTGCTTGGAATCCTTTAACTGGAGATAGCTTTTCCAGTTGTTTGTTAACTCTGAGATTGTTTATCTCCCTCAACTTGAATGTAGTAGCATTTCTTGAAAGTTATTCTTGTCTCAGATGAAGCTATTTATGTCTCCACAATCTGTTAACATTTTCTTTCTTCCTTTTCCTCCCACTAAAACATCACATTATTTGAAACTGAGTCAAAGTGTTCACTTAGTTTTTTATAGAATCATAGAATATCCCGAGTTGGAAGGGACCCATAAGGATCATCAAGTCTGACTCCTGGCACCGCACACATCTACCCAAAAGTTTAGACCATGTGACTAAGTGCACAGTCCAATCACTGCTTAAATTCAGACAGGCTCGGTGCAGTGACCACTTCCCTGGGGAGCCTGTTCCAGTGTGCGACCACCCTCTCGGTGAAGAACCTCTTCCTGATGTCCAGCCTAAACTTCCTCTGCCTCAACTTAACACCATTCCCACGGGTCCTATCACTGGTGTTTACAGAGAATAGGTCAGTGCCTGCCTCTCCACTCCCCCTTGTGAGGAAGTTGCAGACTGCGATGAGGTCCCCCCTCAGCCTCCTCTTCTCCAGGCTGAAAAGGCCCAGTGACCTCAGCCGCTCCTCATATGTCTTCCCCTCTAGGCCCTTCACAATCTTCGTCGCCCTCCTCTGGACACTCCAACAGTTTAACGTCCTTCTTGGACTGTGGTGCCCAGAACTGCACACAGTACTCGAGGTGAGGCTGGACCAGTGCATGTTATACTGAAGATGTTTTCTGTCTAGGGGTTAAATACTTGCTATGTAGCGGTTTCACTTTTTCTCCCTTGGCCCTTTGTTGATTGATTTACTATTCATTTCATGGTGTATTTGATGTTGAGTTTTGGAAATTCTCCCTGGATTGTCACATTTCCAGTTGACTGAAGACTTCCTGTCTAGTCCATTATTTATTTTTTAATATCTGTAACATACCATATTTTTTATTGTTTATTTAGGTATTCCTATACTTTTGTTCATCTTTTTCAAAACTGAACAAAACTCTGTTTCTTCTCAAGTTTATATCACCTATCCCTGCTCCTGTCAGAAATCACCACTATGTCTCAATAGGATTTGCATTGTAGCAGATGCATGTGGATACTGACATTCAGTTAAAATCTTAAAATGTAAGCACCATTTTTTTAAAGGATTCCCACCTCAGTTCCTTAGAAAGAACTGAGTTTTTCTTCAACTTTCTCACCTCTACCAACCTCAGAAACATTTAGGCTACAGGGGACCATGCAACGATCCCATTGTTTGTTCTCCACCTATAACATAAGGTGCTGAAATTTGATCCACTTAACTCTGTCCCAGGGTGTTTCCTGTGTGACAAAAGAACACTTTTCAGGAAGCCATAAATTTGGGGTGTGAAGATGGAGAATCCATTGATTCCCATGGTAAATCGAATTTCCCATTTTTAAACTGTCATTTTTGATTACATCTTTCTTCACTAATTTTTTTTAAATGCTTTTCTGTCTGATATTTTTTCCCTTTAATGATATGCCATTCATGTCCCTTCTCAGTCCCCTTTCTGATAAAATAATTGACCTCTTTACGTTTCCTATTTTACAGTATTTTTTCCAGCTCTTGAACTTGTGACTTTTTTCTCCATTGTCTTACATCCTTCCAAAAATAGTATGAGTGTGGATAATTATTTTGTGTGAGCCTTAGCACTACTTCTCTTTCTAGTGTGACTCACTCTTCTATTCATTTATACTGAACAGCCTTATTAGCTGTTTTTCCTGGAAGATGCATAAAAGATTAACAAATTGTTATCATTATCTGCTTATCTGCTTGTGAGTGCAAGGGGAGCACTAGGGTTGTTAACATGCCCAGGTAAAACAAAACAAAAATTAAAATTAAAACAAAAAATTAAAATTAAATTTAAATGTAATTAAAAAAAAAAAAATGCCAATGCCATAGGAACTTCTACCCTTGTCTCCACCAAAAAAAAAA